GTGAATTAAGCCATAAAGACAGCCTCCTCATACCCAATATGGTGACAAGAAAAAAAGAGTAAAAGGGGAAAGGAGAAGGGAGGAACTGGGTGTTGGCGGCTCATGCCTCTAACCCTAACTTCTCAGGAGGTAGGGTTAGGAGAATCATAGCTCAAAGGCAATGGAGCAATAAAGTCTGCAATACTCTAGCTCAAACTTAACCCAACAAAAGAGCTGAGGGGAAGTTGTAGTTCTAGGGGTGAGTGTCAGTCATGAGTAAAAAGCTGAATAACAGAACTAGGCCCTCACCTCATCCCTCAGTACCAACACACACACACACACACACACACACACACACACACGCACATGCACACACATACACACACTCACACTAATAATACATTAATTAAGGAATTAACTAAGAAAAAAGAAAAACAAGTCTGGTAGAGATGTGGAGAAAATGGAAAACTTGCTCGTAGGAATATAAAATGGTACAGTCACTATGGAACCAGAATAGCAATTCCTAAACAAGTTAAACACAGAATCACTATCTCAGAAAAGATAAGAAGGGAGGGAGGGAGGGAGGGGGGAGGGAAGGAGGGAGGGAGGGAGGGAGAAAGAGAGAGCAAGAACACACAATACAATTAGTATGCTTATTACAGTTTGAATGGGTGGATGAATGGGTGAATTGCGGTTTAGCTTTAGGAGGAAGAACAGGAACAGAAACTCTTTTTTAATGGACAAGTCATAAACAGCCTGGACCTTACCTGCAGAAGTCTAATTAAGATAGGTGTAAGATACCCCCAAATTGGGCTGGGAAGGTGGCTCAGTGGTAGAGCGCTTGCCTTGCATGCATGAAGCCCTGGGTTCAATTCCTCAGTACCACATACACAGAAAAACCCAGAAGTGGCACTGTGGCTCAAGTGGTAGAATGCTAGCCTTGAGCAAAAACAACTCAGGGACAGGGCCCAGGCCCTGAGTTTAAGCCTCAGGACTGGCCAAAAAGATACCCCCAAATCACACGTTCAGAGATTAAATGCCTTCTTACTAGAGGTCTCCTTGGCTACCTCATTGAATAGCTCCCTGATATTAACCCCTACCACCTTGCCCCTTTCTCAACTTCATTCAAGGCAGACAACACAGGCCTATCTATATGGATTTGTTTCCTCTTCAGGACATCAGCTCCAACACCTACAACCACCACCATCTACAGACACAGGCTCCAATATCTACAACCACCATCTACAAGACACAGGCTCCAACACCTACCACCACCTACATCTACAAGACACGGGCTCCAACATCTACCACCACCTATAGCTACAAGACACGGGCTCCAATATCTACCACCAATATCTACAATGCAATAGCATCAGGCAGGCACACAAATAAATTTTAGTTCTACAATCCAAGATATTAGGATCAGTTAAACACCCTAATACAGAGTCAAATCTCAAAATTCAGACATTATTTAAAAACATAGCTTCCAAAAAATAAAGTTTATGGGTGTAGGCTTTTGTCATGTTAGTAGAAATCATGCTAATATGTCAATATTTCTGAGGCCAGGCTCAGATCTGGGCTTTCTTCCCCGTGGGATAACCTCACCTCAGCAACCTCTAGGAAGAAATGGAGATAAACTCAAGACCCATTTCAGCATCAACAGAATGCATGGAAGCCAGTGGAGAACATGGGCAAAAACACACCATTATTTCCTCCCACACTACAAACTGAAAGCAAGACCACAGTAATAATTTTTAAAACTTTTATTCTAAAAGTACATACAATACAGTGCTCACTTTTTTTCTAAGAGTAAGGGTATTTTCTCTGCAGGAGAATAGAGGATCCTAAGCTGTGGTATACAAACTTCCATACTAAGAAAGAGATGCAAAAATGTGCAGGGAAAGGTGTGAGGGACCATTAACATGTACAACTGAGGCAAAATGCTGGGCTCGCTTGTGTGTGGCGGTGGATCTGAGCAAGGCTGAGACCCAGGGTGCACTTGTGTGTGGCAGTGGATCTCAACGAGACTGAGACCCAGGGTGCATTTGTGTGTGGCAGTGGATCTGAATGAGGCTTAGGCCAAGACCTGAGGCACACCTGTGTGCAGCACGGATCTGAGTGAGGCTGAGACATGGGGCACACTTGTGTGCAGCATGGATCTGAGCGAGGCTGAGACACGGGGCACACTTGTGTGTAGTGTAGATCAAAGCAAGGCCGAGGCTTGTGTAGTGTGGATCTAAGTGAGGCTGAGACATGGGGCACACTTGTGCGCAGTGTGGATCTGAACAAGGCCAAGGCTGGTGTGCAGCGTGGATCTGAGTGAGGCTGAGACCCAGGGCACACTTGTGCAGTGTGGATTTGAGCAAGGCTGAGGCTGAGACCCAGGGCACACTTGTGCACAGTGTGGATCTGAGTGAGGCAGTTCCCTGGACCAGGACTCCACTGGGTGGCACTGTGCCTGTGCCACAGGACAACCTTCAGACAGATGGGCTCCCCCAGCAGCTGTGTATGTGCCCCTGCAATCAACAGGGGTGGGGGCTGCCAGGGAGACAGTGCCTTCTGCTCATCAGAGCCTGTGCAGGCTCCCATGCAGCTCTCTGTCCTCGGCAGCTTCATGAAGCATCCTGCAAAGTTCCTGTGTGGCTCTGTTTGCCCTTGGCTCTGGCTCTGCCCTTATATGAAGAAGTCAATCAAGTGACAATGAGATCTCATTCACCTGACTGAAAAGTTCATCAATTCTGGACCCTGGATGACTCAGACTTGGCTCTCCCAAGGGGGCTGCAGATGCACACCACCAGCCTTCCCTCGGGCCGAGTCACCATTACTGTACACCCCAAGTTTATCCCTTCCTCTGAGAACAGAGGACTGGGGCAGGCTTCATACAGCCTGGTCCCTCCATAACTGCCCAGGATGAAGAGAAAGGCAAGAGGTACTTCTACAACAGAGACACTCTTGTCACATAATAAACCAGCATAGCTACAGGAAACAGTGGGAACCTTGGGGATGTCTCCTCAGTGCCATGGGCAGCTAGTGAGCATGCTACCAGGCCAGGTCTGGAGACCCCTGTAACTAATCTGCAGGTTTACTTTAAACTCCCAACTAAGACCAGCATTTCAATGAGGACACACAAAGTAAAAACTAAAGTATCTAAGCACAGTACACACGCAAAGCTTCAGTGTTCTTTCTTGAAAGCAGAGAATATCATGCACTCCTCCATGAGGAGGCAGGGAGGACAGAAAGTCTCCTTCAGGTGCCTACTTGATGAGAAATTCCCTCTCAAGACCTGGCGGACACTAACACAAGACAGTCTTCCTAACACTGGCATGATCCTGACACTCCGAAACTGCTGGAGACAAAAGCCATCTGGACTTCTCCTCCTCAGCTGGGATCCTGGGAGCCTGTGGTTTCACTGCACGTCAGTTTCCTCATGTGTGAGAAGTGCTGTCATCCAGGGAGGTGTCCGTGGCCTTTCTGACAGCCGAGCCCTCAAGGCCACCAACGGGGAGGGCTTAGGACTGCGCTGGGCTTACGGCCAGCTCAGGTTCTGGTCTCCCCTCACGGCGTCCTGTGAGTGAAGTGAGACCCGAAGGGACTGGGGTGAAGTCCTCCATTCACAGGAGACGATGCTGCGGACAAAGGTCCGCCGGCTGGGGGGTACGGGTGACACTGGGGCAGGGACCGCATTTGGAGGGCGGCACTGGCCAGTCACCTTCACTGCCCACAGCCAAGGCCACGCACAAAGCGCAGCCTGCGGGGGAGGGGAGGAGGGCATTGGCTGGGAGGGGTCACTGCCTGCGCGAGAGGGGCACTGCCTGTGTGAGGGGGGGAGTGCTGCCAGCGTGAGGGAGGACGTTGCCTGCGGAGGGGGCGCTGCCTGCGGGGGGGGGGGCTGCCTGCGGAGGGGGGGCGCTGCCTGCGTAAGGGAGGGTGCTGCTGTGGGGGGTGAGTGCTGCCTGTGGAGGGGGGCGCTGCCTGCGGAGGGGGCGCTGCCTGTGTGAGGGGGGCGCTGCCTGCGGAGGGGGAGCGCTGCCTGTGTGAGGGGGGGCGCTGCCTGCGGGGGAGGGGGAGCGCTGCCTGAGGGGGGGAGCGCTGCCTGCGTGAGGGGGGGAATGCGGCCTCCCCACGTGGGCGGCAGTGACGAGGTCGGCGTGAGCCTTTCCTCCACGAGCAACACGGGAATCCTCAAGTCTCACCCCCACTAAACATAAAGAACCGCCGTCAGGTGCGAGCTGAGGGATGAGGCCCAGGCCAAGGGCCCCGGGGCGGGGGGGAGGGGAGAGGTGGCTGGATGGCCCGGCCGGCCTTCCCAACAGAGCCCGCGCCACTGCCACGCACCGCTCCCGGGCCTGAGGCGCGGGCCGGCCGGCCTTCCCCCGTGAAGACCGTGAGGACCGGGGCCGGCGGGG